CATATTGTTGGAGGATCGGATCCCTCCACTTCTAACGAGTCGAGTTTGCTGTCCATCTGGAACTCAGTGAAGACCAGTGAGATTGTGTCTCCCGGATCCGCGAGGATCGTCCACGTACATTCGCCACTGCTCTGATAATCCTTCTGGAAATCTGGACTGGAGATGCTCCCGCTGGAGCTGCGGAAGGTCCCGCCACACGTGTCCTCCGCTGCGGACACACAAACACACAGCCTTAAACGAGACATATTTTTCACAAGACGTAATATAAATCTATGGCGTCCCCAGAATGTGTGTGAAATCTCAGCTCAAAATACCAGATCATTATAGCTGTGTGAACAAAAACACGCCGTTTTTGTGTGTGTCCCTTTAAATGCAAATGAGCTTTAGCTCCGCCTCCGTTCAGAAGAGGGCGGAGCTTCAGAGACTCCGGCAATAACAACACAGGCCGATCTCACTGATCCAGAGTCAGGAGTAACAGCAGCGAGTGCAGCCTTACGGAGAGACTCAGGGAGAGCTTCACTTTTACACGTTTCTGAATGTTAGCGGAGACATTTCTGTAGTTGTTGTGGAGTTACACTGATCATCTCCTCATCATGTTGAACTCTTCCACAAGTGTCCACAGTTCCTGAGGTGTTTATAAGACAGCGCTGACATGTTCTGGTCAATAGTGTTCAGTGTCGTCTGTGCTCGACCACAGAACAGTTTCAGGCTTTGCTGGATCTTCTCCAGTGCGTTAGAACTGGTCTCTGTTGGCTCTCGCCGAACCCAATGTCGCTGGTGTGTGTGAACGTGCAGATTAAGGGCCGGGAATATTATAATAACATAAAGCTTATTTTATAACATGCAGTAACAAAGTTACTGGGTTTCACTTTTCACTGTGTCTGTGTTGGTCGATGCACCCGATTATAGCACTCACACACGGGGAAAGTCAGATTTTCATGATATGTCCCCTTTAACAAATGTGTAACAGAACATGCTGAAGATGCTCAGAAACAATATTGCATTATGGAAAGATCTTTGACTGAAGGCATGAAGGGTCATCCGTCTGTTAGAGCGAGTCAAAGATGAGTTTTCAAGGCTGAATCATTGACAATATGATTATGGAAGATAAAGCTCCTCCAAAATAAATTTGGGTGTTTTTTTGAATACTTTGCCAACACTATTATATTGTTGTCTGCCAACAAGCCAATAAACAACGATAAGAGCCGTTATTATACACCAGGTTGATCGCACTAATTGCTGGTTATGTTCTGAGGAACAGAATGATTGTTTTAATGAGTATTATATGGGTTTTGCAAGCATTTATTTTTCAAAAACAAACCTAAAATCAACACTTAATTATGCAGCTCGAGACTAGCTTGAAAACAGAGACAGTGTCTGATAATTAATCTAATTAGCGTCATGCAGGATGAGAGGAAAGCGTCTAAGCAAACACTACTTAATGAAGAGTTTTGATATTTAAAACACATATGAACAGGACATCAGCTAATGCAACATATTGCACACACAAGTGGTATGCAAAAACAAAAGTGCATTTGATTTTCAGAGTAAATGGATCATTGCATTTAGTCACTCTCATATTGCATAACGCATATTGCTTTGCTTTTCCCATGCAACACAAAAATAGAAACTCTGAAGCTCTTTTACATGCAACAATCACTCATATGAGCTGTCAAGCTTCACAAAAGCACAAAACTTCAAGCCTTCAGAAGATATAATAGCTTAATGTGAAAAACAGACTTATTCTTTAGTCAGTTATTAGTCATTGATGTTGCTCCAAACTTGCACGCCTTTCTGTCAGACGTTCTGAAAAATGTCTGGGGTTTGACAATGAAAGTCAATGGGGTCCAAATTAATGTTGTTCAGAACAACTTATTTCGTGTTCTGCAGAAACTCAAACAGGTTTGGATGCAAATGTTATTCAGTGAGAATCTTCAAAGCTCAACATTTGTGCACTATTCCTTTAAAGAGTCCGAACATTAAAGTTCAAGTTATTACCACAGGTCCATATATCCACATCTGACAGCGAGAGATATGATTCCCGATTTGTAGATGACATGCGTATTTAAATATGCACATTATGAATCCAGGTGCATATGCGGATTCAGATGCTTCAAAGCCGAGGAACATCCATTACTAATATTTCTAAAAAAGCTTCATACCTATTAATGCATGCTGGCAGTCCGTGTTCCCTAAGCTGCAAATTGCCTTACATGTCGGTATTTCTGCCCTAAAAAGCTATTTCAGGCGAACTCATGCTTTATCACAGGACTCTCTCGACAGATCTCGCGAGGAGAAATAAGAGATGAGTTTCCAGCCACACGAGGATCCAGATCTGCTTCAATATGCAGGTAATGCAACATATTAGCAATGCAGAGGAGAGTTGCACGTAAACAAAAAATGTGTCTAAACAGCAAAAAAGCCCAGTTTACACGACAGCTTATTTTAGTTACGAACCGCCCGCTTTGATAGGAAGAAACCGTCTGACCAACATATAAAGTGACCAAACTATTTGCTTTCCACATGCCATTCAGGGAGATACGATCTGAAGCAGATTAAACCACAAGAACAGAATAAAACAAGGTCATTTAAAGTGCTTTTTCCAATTGTGCCTCTCATGCAGTGTGTAATGTAAAAGCTCTGCAAACAAAAGCTATTGTCTCCTAAAAGAAAGAATCGATCTCGGAAAGAAGGAAATCTTCAAACGAACCGTTTCAGACTCTTTGAAATTAAAGTGTTTTGCATGTAAACCGTTGTAAGAGACTCCAAAACCAAATAATAACCTTTACATGAGCATAATAGGGGCTTTAATGATAAATGATCAAATCTAATATGATCAATTATTTACATTTAAACCATGGAGCCATTATTTTTCTAATAATTAATTGGCTGGCCGTCAATTATGCCTTAATGATAAATTATGGTACGGTAGTCTCCACAAACCATTACAGAAAATATGGGAATATACAGTATTTATAGATTTATGATCCAAAAGTAAAACTTCAAATCAGTACTTTTTATAGACAATGCAGAAAAAAGGAATGCAGAAAATTTAATTATGTATTTTGAATTAAAAATGTATGTTTTTTTAATGACAAATAAGTACTTTTCACAGACATAATTAAGAAAACAATGTAATCATTTCAGCCCTGTTCATGGAAAGCTGGTTTATTTGGTATTAACTGCCCAAATATGCTTCTAACATGGACAAAGTCATTATTTTAGCATCAAAAGCTTGCTGTGTCAACACAACTTTAGCTATGTTTACATTTAGTATTTGTATGTGCATTTTGGGATATCGCATAATAAAACACTGGATGGAAACACCAAGATGCGCATAAAAACACGTATGCGCTCAATTGAGGAGGATACTCTTTTCAACCGATAAACTACGATGGAAACACATTTACTGAATAAATCCCTCAGATCGAACCTCATGTGACTTTGGCTCAGCGGAGGCTGTGATTGGATGACTGGAGTAACCAGTGGACCAATGGCGTCGCAGCGTCTCTAATGTTGGTTTGGTGTTTCTGAAACGCCGGAGTTGAAGTGTGTGTTCAGAGTGATTGGGTGTATTCCCTCCTGAAGCGTCTCACACACACACGAGTTTTTTCCCGAGCATCCGAACGCCAGAGAACACGACAGCGTTTACTGTGTTTCGTCTGACGCTCGACACACACTCGTTTATGATGGAGGGATAAAGCGCTGATTGCAGCTTACATCTTTATTGCTGATATTTTGCACCAATTTCCCAGGAAGTGACGATTTTGACTCTTGAAGACGGGAAATGCAATTTTCAATTTTGTTTTCAGTTTTAATAAGATAAATCTGCAACTTTGGATGGAAACATAGCTTTTATTTGCAGGCGCACTCAATTTTCCACACTCAACCAATCAGATTAGAGCTTGCCAGATCAAGAAAGTCCTTTTTCTTTTCATTTTTGCAATTGGACAGAGAGCGAGCGGTCAATGGCCAGTGCAGAGACTCCAGAGAAGAGCAGAAGTCTCAGTGAATACGGCATTTGCTGAATCTGATGATGGGAACATGAAAGCTACTAGATAATAGATCGGTACATCCCTTATCCTCACTCATTAAAGCAGAGCCCAGAAGAACAAACATCACACTATGAGGGATTAATGTTGCTTATCAAGATTCGTTTGGATTCTCATTATCTTTCATTCTGAAGGATGAACTGTCGTTTTTTGTTCTTTCATCAGACTGGAAGTTCAACACTCCTCAATGGTTGTTAGAGAATAAAACCCTGTTGAATATAGTTACATTATCGTTTATATTAGCCTCGTCTGACTTTACAGGGCATGCAAAATGTATTTTCGCATTCAACCGAAGAGAATTGCATCATTTTACAACAACGTGCCTTTATTTTTCATTAAAAGGCACTGTGTAAAACGAAGAAATCAAGCATAATTTGTTTGCACACATTCACACATTTAAGCATGACATTGGCCATATAGTTTTGGGGGCCACTGTCTGAACACATCAACTGCCTCAGATTATGAATATGCATTAACAACACCAAAACTCTAGGATGCAAAGTGAGATATTTCAAGCCTTTATTTGTTATAATTTTGATGATTATGGCTTACAGCTTATGAAAACCCCAAATTCAAAATTAGAATATTGTGAAAAGGTTTTTATAGTTGTAATCCATAATCATCACAATTATAACAAATAAAGGCTTGAAATATCTCACTTTGCATGTAATGAGTCTATATAATGTATTAGTTTCACCTTTTAAGTTGAATTACTGAAATAAATTAACTTTTGCACCATATTCTAATTTTTCAAGTTTCACCTGTATAACAATACAATATATAGGGTATGATTTTACCTCTAAATTCAGCAAATGAAAACTGCAAATCCAGCTTTCTCTGCCCAGATCCAGTTGTTTCTGTGAATTGCAGATTCATTTGCTTCTCTGTTCTGAATCTTTCAGCCGTCTGTATAAATGTACCTCAGATTTCTTGTCAAATCTAGTTGTACAGTCAATCTCAAAGCTCTTTCCGTTTTGGATGTGTTTTGTGTGTTTTTCGCGCTGAAACCCAATGCTGCCACTCAGTGTTTCTGCCACTCACACACACAACCTCTATTGACTGACAGACAGTTGGTGTTTAAATTCCTAAATAAAGTGTGTCATTTTCTTCCCAACTCCCATTTACACACATCTCCTCCTCCTGTGCATCCAGTGCC